AAAAGACACTATAGACATTCCGACGCTATATAAGAATATAAGTTAACCAGGTTGTTTGGCAGAGGACACAGGGCCTGTGGACTCGGGGGTGCCCCAGGATACAGGAGGGAGACGGGGCTGGGGACATTCATGGTGGCTCAGCAGCTGAGCATCCTGGCGTCGTCGGGGCAGGCCGGCTAGATGCCAAGGCCGGGACCGAGGCCTGGATGGGGCGGCTGGCGCCAGGCCACGGGCTTCCTTGGCACGAACAGCTGAACGAGAGGGAAGGTGGCAGCGGTGGAGGGTGCCAGCAGCTGGTGCCCATGTCCTTCCTGGCCTTGGGCAGCCCCCTCCCTCTGTGCCTCAGTTTCCTCAGGGACAGGAGTGGGACATCAAGGGAAGACACACCCAGGCCTCCACCCTGCCCCAGCCCGGAGTGGGCCCCTCGCCCGCCCCCGTCTCCAAGGTTTCTGGGTGGGATGAGTCAGACTTCAGAGGACTCCGTGTGCGGCCCCTCAGGGAGGGGTCTGGGGTGCAGCGTGCAGGTGGGACCTGGGACCCTGGACCCATTTCTCAGCAGCACCAGGACCCAGGACGGGGCAGGAGGAGGCCGCCCGAGGGGTGCAGGTGCTGTGCGGCTGGCGGTGGGGAGGGAGCAGCTGGGCTTTCTAGCGCAGAGGCTGGCGGCCCTAGCCTGGGGTCCCAGTGTGCTTTCTGAAGTCAGAGCCCTGGGCTACACAGGGGGCAGGGGCCAAGGCGGGAGGCCCCGCTCAGTCTGTCTCTGGCTAGTCCTACACCGTGCTGAGCGTCAATGTGCCCGTCCGCCAAATGCACAGACAGCCCTGACCACCCCATGCCTGCCTTCCCACCTGTCCCAGTCCTGTCCTGGGGGTCAGGCTGGCTCAGGAAGGGAGGGGGTCTGTAAGCTGGAGGTGCCAGGTTGTGGTAGGTGGGAGAGTGACAGGGTTAGGGAGGGGCCAGGCACTCCTGGATCCAGAAATTTTGCTTAGCATGATGATTTTCAGAAAGGAAGGGGTGGCCGGCAGGGACCCTGCTTATGGCTCTTCTGAGGCCTGCCCAGCCCCCTCCAGTATGTGCAGGACCATGGCCTCCCCCAGGGCAGGCCCAGGAGCCAGCTGGTCCTCCCAATCCCAGGTTGCCTGAGGCCTGCAGGGCAGGGCACTGGGAAGGAAGCAGAGGGACAGGATGAAGAGGCCTATGGGGCGGGCATCGGCATGGGCTGGCGCAATACGGAGTTAGGACTGGCTACAGCGTTAGTGCCAAGAATCTGCTTCTGGTACTAAGAAAACATAAATACTCTGTCAATATCATCCACACCGTCATGGGGTCTAGCGGCGGATGAGGCCTGGGCACCAGGCTGGAGTGTGGCCGGCCGAGCGGCGGATGAGGCCTGGGCACCAGGCTGGCGTGTGGCCGGCTGTCAGGGCCCTTCCATGTCTGCCAGCAGGTGGGGGACACCCCCAGTGTCCGTCACCCCTCTGCTTGCGGGGACAGGTGGGTGTCCTTGAGATTCTCTTTCCTGTCGGGAAGACGACAAACTCGCTGTCTTGCCAGGGACTGGTACCATGGCCTGGCCCTCTCCCCAGGAGCTGGGCGCTGTCCTGCCCCGGGTGTGACGGCAGGGGTGGCAGGAAGGAGGGCCGAGGGCATCGCCCCGCCGCCGTCCCACACACCTGGAGCTCCGGCCTTCACCCACCTCCGCCCGCACAGCGGCGGGACGAGGACGTGCGGCCTCACTTGCAGGTGAAGACCTCGGTGCGCTCGCTGCAGGTGTTGCACTTGACGAAGCAGCACCAGTGGAACTTGCAGTTGCACTGCCCGACCTTGGTGTACTGGT